GTGATTGATATGATAAGCATCGATCCACGCAATTGGGATCGATGACATGCATCAACCAAGTCAGCGAGCCTGACCACCTGATCCCGTTAGTCGTCTTTTACGACAAGCATAGTCGCCTTTTACGGCAAACATGGGTTACCTATAATTCAACCCCGGAATCTTCACGTGTCCCGAGCAGAATGAAGGAGCAATATGAGAAAATATTTGTGAGTTTAATCTGACAATTTCCAAGAGGAAACTTAAGTAATAATGACAGAACAGTAATCAGATTGTAATGTATATATATTCTCCTAGAACTACTAATTGCTGTTCCGGTAAGATGTTGTTCACATGTTCTCGCTGTTGTTGTGAAGTATATTTATGCTTCATACATTTATATTCTGTTCATTGTTACACATAAATATGATTACCAACATCAGAACCTATTACATTAGAAAAACCACGGTAGCTATGATAATAATTACAATGAGTTGAGAGCTTCTTCTGAATATGTTAAATAACGAAACGGAGACGATTACGTTACTGCTGCACGTATATCCATTCAGATATAGGTCCCCAGCTACCTACAATGGCCGGAGGAGGCGACTAAATGGATCGGGTGATCAGGCTCGGTGACTTGGTTAATAGTATGTCACCGTATCCCAATTGCTGCACGGGTGGCCCAGTCGTCTAAGGCGCCCCGATTCGCTTTGCAGATTTGCTTCCCTTGGGCACGCCAGAAACATATGATTGTGGGTTCGAATCCAGGTTCGCCCCGAATATGTTTCTAGGTTTGTCAGCACCATACCCGTGGGTTTCACCGAAGTGGTAAACGTCTGAGACCTGCATCACTTCGGGCTTTCCTCCCACATTAAGCTGACACGCCGCGATATAACTGGAATATTGTTAAGCTCACTCACCCACTCACTATTGCTCTGATCGATGTTTATGATTTTAATCACCGGATTGACTGGACCAGACTCGATTATTTAGATACCGCTTTCATATAGCAGTAATATTGCTGAGAGCGGAGCTAAACAACTGATTTTGAAATTCGCATTACAGCATAACGTTGAGACAAGTAATACACACACAAATACACCATACGGATGTACACCTAAACCGAAAGTAGACCACTTGACTCACATACGGAAGGATGGGTTGTCATTAGAGATACACAGGAAGCAAGCCAGTGCACGTTGTTTACTGAATAGTGGTAGGTACACGAACACCCAGATAGACACGTAAGTGGTGTGGGTTTCATCATCGCACTGGGCTTAAGTTGATGTCACGGTATATCTATTTCACGACACATCAAAGTTGTACATTTGGTATGACCTCTAGAGACAAGATGCACCCTATCGTATAAGACCTGATTGATATCTTCCTTAACTTCGACGCTCTTGACATTCATGCCATACACAGGGTCCTCATTAAGTTTGTTTTTGTAGAAATATGTGTGTTGTAAACAAAGTATCCATATGATTGACTCAGAGTTCAGTCATGGATAGTGGACATGCTGTAGTTACATGCTTCAGCAAAACTGAACACAACTATATTCTTCGCGAAATGGTGTAAGGGAGGTAACTCCCATGACAACATGGTGTTTCCTATGACATCCCTGCGAACATGGTGCATATTCTGTCATCTCTGCCAACATGGTGCATCCTATGACATATCTGCCAACATGGTACATTCTGTGACATCTCTGCCAACATGGTGCATCCTATGACATATCTGCCAACATGGTGCATTCTGTGACATCTCTGCCAACATAGTGCATCCTATGACATCTCTGTCAACATGGTGCATTCTGTGACATCTCTGCCAACATAGTGCATCCTATGACATCTCTGCCAAAATGGTGCATTCTGTGTCATCTCTGCCAACATGATGCATTCTGTGACATCTCTGCCAACGTGATGCATTCTGTGTCATCTCTGCCAACATGGTGCATTCTGTGACATCTCTGCTAACATGGTACATTCTGTGTCATCTCTGCCAACATGATGCTTTCTGTGTCATTTCTGCCAACATGGTACATTCTGTGTCATCTCTGCCAACATAATGCATTCTGTGTCATATCTGCCAACATGATGCATTCTGTGACATCTCTGCCAACGTGATGCATTCTGTGTCATCTCTGTCAACATGATGCATTCTGTGACATCTCTGCCAACATGGTACATTCTGTGACATATCTGCCAACATGATGCATTCTGTGTCGTCTCTGGCAACAAGGTGCATTCTATGACATCTCTGTCAACATGGTGCATTCTGTGACATCTCTGCCAACATGGTGCATCTTATGATATCTCTGCCAACATGATGCATTCTATGTCATCTCTGCCAACATGGTGCATTCTGTGTCATCTCTGCCAACATGATGCATTCTGTGACATCTCTGTCAACATGGTGCATTCTGTGTCATCTCTGCCAACATGATGAATTCTGTGTTATCTCTGCCAACATGATGCATTCTGTGTCATCTCTGCCAACATGGTGCATTCTATGACATCTCTGTTAACATGGTGCATTCTGTGTCATCTCTGCCAACATGATGCATATTCTGTCATCTCTGCCAACATGGTACATTCTATGACATCTCTGCCAACATGGTACATTCTATGACATCTCTGCCAACATGGTACATTCTGTGTCATCTCTGCCAACATGATGCATTCTGTGTCATTTCTGCCAACATGGTGCGTTCTGTGACATCTCTGCCAACATGGTGCATTCTGTGTCATCTCTGCCAACATGGTACATTCTGTGACATCTCTGCCAACATGATGCATTCTATGTCATCTCTGCCAACATGGTACATTCTGTGTCATCTCTGCCAACATGGTGCTTTCTGTGTCATCTCTGCCAACAAGGTGCATTCTGTGTCATCTCTGCCAACATAGTGCATTCTGTGTCATTTCTGCCAACATGGTGCGTTCTGTGACATCTCTGCGAACATGGTGCATTCTGTGACATCTCTGCCAACATGGTACATTCTATGACATCTCTGCCAACATGGTACATTCTGTGACATCTCTGCCAACATGATGCATTCTATGTCATCTCTGCCAACATAGTGCATTCTATGACATCTCTGCCAACATGATGCATTCTGTGTCATTTCTGCAAACATGATGCATTCTGTGACATCTCTGCCAACATAGTACATTCTATGACATCTCTGCCAACATGATGCATTCTATGTCATATCTGCCAACATGGTGCATTCTGTGTCATTTCTGCCAACATGGTACATTCTGTGACATCTCTGCCAACATGGTACATTCTATGACATCTCTGCCAACATGGTGCATTCTATGTCATCTCTGCCAACATGGTGCATTCTGTGTCATCTCTGCCAACATGGTACATGCTGTGTCATATCTGCCAACATGATGCATTCTGTGACATCTCTGCCAACATGGTGGATTCTGTGACATCTCTGCCAACATGGTACATTCTGTGTCATCTCTGCCAGCATGGGGCATTCTATGACATATCTGCCAACATGATGCGTTCTGTGTCATTTCTGCCAACATGATGCATTCTGTGTCATTTCTGCCAACATGATGCATTCTGTGTCATCTCTGCCAACATGGTGCATCTTATGACATCTCTGCCAACATGATTCCCTCTGTGTCATCTCTGCCAACATGATGCATTCTGTGACATCTCTGCCAACATAGTGCATTCTGTGTCATCTCTGCCAACATGGTGCATCTTATGACATATCTGCCAACATGGTGCATTCTATGACATATCTGCCAACATGATGCATTCTGTGTCATTTCTGCCAACATTATGCATTCTGTGTCATTTCTGCCAACATTCTATGTCATACGAAAACAGTGAACACCGGTAGTGAAGTACTTGCACTGTTTTCGGCTGAACCGAACCTATGTAACGACATCACAAAGTTTATTGTGATGCAATAGATATGACATTGCAGTCGGAGATGTTCAAGTACTCTGTTGTCGCTTAGTTTTCTTTTGCGTTTTCTGACCAATATGTATTCACTCACCCGTTTGCGTTATTCGAGTGAGTGAGTGAGTTAAAATATAATGGCACATCGGCAATATTTCAGTCATACTGAGAAGAGAGAAAGTTATTTTTTATTATTAATACATTTAGACTGCCTAAACTTGATTATCAAAAATTGTATTAAAAGCTAGTATGAGATTAATTATCGCGTCATTCAAGCTACAGCGGTGCTTTTTGTAATTTACAACAATGATTTATTAATATCATTATTTGAAACTGACGAACGCAAATGAGAAATAAGTACCATTGTTTATTTTCGCATTAGAAACAGCTTGGCGAGATAGTAAGTACAAGCAATACCTAATTATTTCCCTTTAATTTTCCATTTTGCCACATCCACCAAGCAGAGGATGCACCAAATCAAGATATCCAAGAGCTAAATGATCCAATAACACTCTCGGTGGGGTAGTCTAGTTATTAAAGCGTTCGCTTGTCACGCAGAAGACCCGGGTTCGATTCCCCACATGATTACAATGTATGAAGCCCATTTCTTTGTCCCGGCCGTGATAATGCTGGGATGTTGCTAACATGGATGATGGTATCTCGTCAAAAGGCATTGATTTTTATGCACACGCACGCACGCACGCACGCACGCACGCACGCACGCACGCACGCACGCACGCACGCACGCACGCACGCACGCACACACACACACACACACACACACACACACAAACACACACACACACACAAACACACACACACAACGCTTGTGACAAACCATAACAAAGTTATCCATCTAAAAGGGCCAGTTAATTTAACATTTTCCCCTGAAATATCCCCTGACAACCCAACCTACTTCCTGCTGTGTACTCAAATCATTCCTGCCGATGTTCCGGGAAATGAAATTATTTCTGTATTTTCCTATGCGAAAATTAAGTTAGAATGTCACACACTTTAGTCACGTCACGACACACAATAAACCTATAAATATGCTATTCACCCGTACACCTAAAACGAAAGTAGACCACGTGACCCACACACGGAAGTAGACTTTGACATCGGTGACTCTGTAATCAGTTCGGTTTGTGTCTGTCTTCCAGATATTGGTAAGTAAACGAACATGTGGGTAGAAAGTAGAGCAGCCTTTGTACCAACATAGTATTGGGTTCAGCCTTGTGTCATAGATACTGTTGTTGATATGAGGAACAAGACTCATAAACCGGCCAGGTGTGAAGTCTGATCTATTACAGGCTCATGTGATGTCCTGTTGTTATTGTCCCAGTTATATTTATACAATTAGTGTGCCGGACACACCTATTTTAGACCACCCTTCAATTCCATTCCGTAACCCACGAATGTATGAAACTTATTTGCGTCAAATTGGTTTGATATCAATACAGTAAACAACATGTTCAAAGTGCATCTGTCTAGAATATGGAAATTGTTGGAGTTACCTCCCTTACACCACCAACACCCGAACAAGCCTGCGGTACTGGAAGGTGCGTTCGATGATGTCAATTAGCTAACCAAAGTACCCCAAATATTCAGTCGGTAAGGGCGACCTTGGTCAACCGAATTATGACGTAAATGAGTTGACATGAGCTTACATTGGTCAACCAAGGTCAGCTCTCCAAGTGATGTCATCTGTAAAGATTTTGGTTTTAGTTTGGTTTGTTGTTTAACGTCACACTCAGCAATATTCCAGTTATATGACGGCGGTCGGTAAATAATCGAATCTGGGCCAGACAGTCCAGCGATTGACATCATGAGCATCGATCCACGCAATTGGGATAGATGACATGCATCAACCAAGACAGCGAGCCTGACCATCCGATCCCGTTAGTCACCTTTTACGACAAGCATAGTCGCCTTTCACGGCAAGCATGGGTTGCTCAAGACCTATTCCTCCCCGGATCTTCACGGGCCCACCTATAAAGAAAATTTGTTTAATTTATTGATTCAATCATGAATATAGTGATTTTAATGAATATAATTAACTAGATATTGATTATATATATGTCAGTGAAATGTAACTTTCGATTGTTGATATAAATACTTAAAAAATGATTAGGGCCTGATTGCGTCTTGTCAGTGCCTGGGGCAGGGTTCTCTGGTTCTCTCGGTGGGGTAGCCTAGTTGTTCAAAATCAAGATATTCAAGTGCTAATTGATCCAATAACACTCTCGGTGGGGTAGCCTAGTTGTTCAAAATCAAGATATCCAAGTGCTAATTGATCCAATAACACTCTCGGTGGGGTAGCCTAGTTGTTCAAAATCAAGATATCCAAGTGCTAATTGATCCAATAACACTCTCCGTGGGGTAGCCTAGTTGTTCAAAATCAAGATATCCAAGTGCTAATTGATCCAATAACACTCTCGGTGGGGTAGCCTAGTTGTTCAAAATCAAAATATTCAAGTGCTAATTGATCCAATAACAGTCTCGGTGGGGTAGCCTAGTTATTAAAGCGTTCGCTTGTCACGCCGAAGACCCGGGTTCGATTCCCCACATGAGTACAATGTATGAAGCCCATTTCTTTGTCCCGGCCGTGATAATGCTGGAATATTGCTAACATGGATGATGGTATCTCGTCAAAAGGCATTGATTTTTATGCACACACACACACATACACACACACACATACACACACACACACACGCCTGACCATCCGATCCCGTCTGTCGCCTTTTACGACAAGCATAGTCGCCTTTCACGGCAAGCAAGGTTTGCTGAAGACCTTCTCCACCCCGGATCTTCACGGGTCCACCTATAAAGAAAATTTGTTTAATTTATTGATTCAATCATGAATATAGAGATTTTAATGAATATAATTAACTAGGTATTGATTATTATATATGTTAGTGAAATGTAACTTTCGATTGTTGATATAAATACTTCCAAAAAAAATAGGGCCTGATTTCGTCTTGTCAGTGCCTGGCGCAGGGTTCTCCGGTTCGCAGTCTCCAAGTGACGTTATCGTCAAAGAAATGTAGTTTAATTTAATGATTCAATCATGAATATAGAGATTTTAATGAATATAATTAACTAGATATTGATTGTATATATCTCAGTGAAATGTAACTTTCGATTGTTGATATAAATAAACTGACGTCCAAAAGAAACTTTATCAGAGTTTGAAATCACTCTTGCTCAAAAACAACAAAACATACATGCATGAAGTTAGGTGTATTGAGAAGATCAATATATCAACTTAATAAACACTGAAAATGACAATCATACCGCGACCGAGAATGACGTCAGAGCCCCCCAAAGTTGGGTGTGGTACAAAACTCGAGCTTTTAGAATCATGGACAATAGGCAGAGTACATAACAATCGCTCACGTTCAATAACAAGTCATTAGTAGCGTGTGTGACCACCAAATGCCTCAATACACGCAAAAACTCTTCGACGCACAGAAAAAGTCAGTCGACTGATGAGGTCACGTGGGATTTGACGCCATTCTTCTTGGAGGGCCAAGATCAGTTCTTGCCGGTTGGCTGGAGAGTGTGATCGTTGTCGAATGGGCGATCCATCAAGTCCCAGGGGTGTTTTATGGGGGACATGGCGGGTGAGCGTGCAGGCCACGGCAGGACGTTGACGTTGTTGGCTGCGAGGAAGTTAGTGACAATTCTGGCTGTATTGGCTCTAGCGTTGTCATGCTGATAAATGACACCACGTGGCTGCTGTTGGAGAAATGGTAGGACAACTGGACGAAGAATGTTATCAATGTAACGCTGAGCTGTCAAGTTTCCGTCAACGATGATTAGCGGTGTCCTCTCCTGCCCACAGATCCCTCCCCACACCATGACACTCCCTCCACCATATGGTACGACTTCCTGCACGCAACACGCCGCCGTTCGTTCACCCCTTCGGCGGTAAACACGTTGTCTTCCATCAGCCCTAAACATACAGAATCGACTTTCGTCAGTGAAGACAACCCTCTGCCAGTCACGTCGTTGCCAACGTCATTCAGTCCGGGCCCATCTCAATCGCAGACGACGATGTTGCGCTGCCAATAGCTGTCCTCTGTATGGTCTAAAAGCCCTTATTCCATGAGCCCTGAGTCTCCTGGCCACTGTCTGTCGACTAACCCTGTGACCTAAGGCATTTGTCGCCGATGACGTCACTGTCAGGAAGCGATTTCAGAGGTGCAAGGTACGCAAGTACCGGTCATCATTGGGCGTGGTCACCCTTGATCTGCCTGTTCTTGGCCTATCAGCGGTCCGCCCTGTCTGTCTGTAACGTTGCATCATGTCGGTAACGGCAACACGGGAGCAACCGAAGGTTCGTGCAATATTGGCGTGGGTGGCTCCCATCTGTACCATACCTAAGGCTCGTTCACGTTGTTCGACTGTGAGTCGTGGCAATTCTTATGTGTTTTTTTATCACTGTGGATGTCTGACTTGCCGATGCAATCGTTTTATACCCTTACCCGCACGTGCATTTCCAGTTGTCCGTGGTGCACGTGTTTTTCACTTTTTCGCGTGTTCTCTCGAAAACATGTAACAGACATTTTCTGCATACACTATTGTTGTATTTAGGTTATGTGTTTAAGATAGACTTCATCGCAAAAAAAATAATACTTTGTCCAAAATTTATATTTTTAGTTGGTAAAGTTTCTTTTGGACGTCAGTTTACTTCAAAAATAAATAGGGCCTGATTGCGTCTTGTCAGTGCCTGGGGGACGGTTCTCTGGTTCGCAGTATCCAAGTGACGTTTTCGTCAAAGAAATGAAGTTTAATTTAATGATTCAATCATGAATATAGAGATTTTAATGAATATAATTAACTAGATATTGATTGAATATATATCAGTGCAAATGTCACTTTCGATTGACATGCAATAGACAAAGATACGATGACAGCTTTGCCACGAAATGAAACACTTGTTAACTTCTCTGAAGCTGTGTATTTTGGCAAAGGGTTTTGGGTTTCTCCGTCTCCTGGCAGCCATTATTACATCTAAGGTTGTATTTTATACGTTCTGAGTCGGATATCCTGGGTTGACACTGGTTAGCTCAGTTTGACTAAAAATTTCAAAATCGAACATACCTAGTACATTCTAATTGTGTATTATAAATGGATAACAAAATGATAAAGTTAATGAAATTATGAAAAAAGTCAGCTTAAACAGTTTCTCATTTTCCAAATATTTGTTTCACATCAAGTGTTTGTGCAGAAGTGTGAAAAGATTAGAATAAGAAGATTATTTAATCATCTGGTCACATGACGTAAATACAAATAATACTACATATCACACCTACACGTATTAATGTACATTGTCTGGCCAACATGGCCTATGAGGCACTTAAGTACAAATATTGTCATTATACAAGTATACAAGTGCTAAAGATCCGGGTTCGATCCCCGACATGGGTACAATGTGTGAAGCCACTTTCTGGTGTCCCCCCGCCGTGATATTGCTGGAATATTGCTAAAAGCGGCGTAAAACAATACACACTCACTCACTCACTTATTGAATATCTTACCTCGTGTAGCTTAATTTGTAACATAATTTCAACGACAAGTGGCGAACTCCTTGATGTCTTCAGTGAGCTCATTCGTGACCAACTCGTGTTATTCCGAGACAAGCCGAATGGCGACTCGTGCCCCTGTCATGTCCATTTTTGCGACCGGGTTGCGTCTTAGCGCAAACGGGCATACCTAAAACAATTGTCAACTCGTTGTGTAATGGTTCACATATATTTCCCCATAGATTATATATATTTCAAATGCAATTTAAAGCACATCAGGACATGCGATATTATACAGTATGATTGAACACCTTTAACTGTCTTGGGTATGTTTTAGAGGCAAGACATGTGTAAAATCAAAAATTATTTCTGAAGGATTCTTTGACGAAGAACTTGAAATCATACGCGCATTCTGACTGGTTTGTCGTATTTACGCACATAACATTCATCGATAGGGGGACGAGTCTTCTTGCAGGTTACACGGGTGGCCCAGTCGGCTAAGGCGCCGCTATTCGCTGTGAAGTGTTGCGTCCCTTTGGCACGCCAGAAACCTATGATAATGGGTTCGAATCCCGGTTCGCCCCGATTATGTTTCTAGGTTTGTCAGCACCATACCCGTGCTCGTGGGTTTCACCGAAGTAGTAAACGTCTGAGACCTGCGTCACTTCGGGCTTTCCTCCCACATTAAGCTGACTCGCCGTCATAAAGCGCATGGTAACGTATTGTTAAAGAACTCGAAAAGATTTGAGGCTCAAAAACATGTTACGTGGGGATACATGAATGAGTTTTCGTTGGGTAACTGTACCTGGATCTGAAACCTATTTGTTCAATGTCTTTTATATGTCATGCACACTTTCAGATAAAATGGCGGCTGTGAACGTACAACAAGCTGAAAGTGCGTCAGGGTTTGTTGACAACTGGCAAGCGGGGAAGACCCTCGCTCAATGTAATTTACGCATGTTCGATGAGGAAGAGCTTTGTGACGTCACATTTCGAGTTGGAAGTACAGGTCACGTGAGTAAGGCCCATCGCTACGTGCTCATCAGCAGAAGTTGTGTGTTCCACGCCATGTTTACCGGCCCCCTGGCGGAGACGTCGGAAGTCAGTGTTCCGGAAATAGAGCCTAAGGATTTCAGACAGTTTCTCTTGTAAGTATTAATCATTACAGTATTACATAGCAGAACGTTATTTAGAAAACTACGATAGTAACACTGTACTCCCAAACAAACAGTTTTTATAGTTCTGTGATAATGATGACCATCATTCTCCAGAGGGAATACTGAATGCAGGCTGTCGATCCAGCTGATGTAGGCATTGGTCCTTGTTTTCGGCCTTTTACCAGCGCGGCTCTTTTACAGATGGCGTCTGTTGAGAATTTAAAGTCTAAAGCCATCTTATACCAGCGCTGTATGGCCACATGTTGGGTGTATGTCATGCTCATGTGGGGATATTGAAAATATATAAAACTTCAACACAAGGGAATGACCAGTCTCCTAAACAGATTCCATACTCACGGATTTAACCTAAGTGAAAACTGTCTAATACGCTGATCACTTAATTAGGCATGTCAGACCTCGTTCTAAAATGAGAGACGTAATGATTGTTGAAAACCTCTCCAAAGCAGCATTAAATTCACATACAACTCCAACGACAACATATGTCAACCATGAAATCAAATATTCTGGCATGCAAATTTTAACTGATCTTAAATACATTTAATGTTGAGCGGTAGTATTATCTTTTTTCAAATACTGCATCATTTGGAAGCAAAATTATTTGTAGTCCTCTCCTTCTTCAGATACCTTTACACAGACAATACAACTGTTGATGCTGACAACGTACAGCTCTACTGTACGCCTCCAGAAAATATGCCATCACCGCCTTAGACTCCAAATGTCTGGAGTTCCTGGAGAAACACCTCAACGTTGACAACGCCTGTGTGATTCTAGATGCTGCTCATCGTTTTGATCAAAGTCAGTTGTTTCAGAAGGCCTTGACCTTGATTAAAGATACAGGTGAGAGGTCACTACAGTCATCTGGTTTCCTGACACTGAGACAAGTGTTGTTGCAGAAGATTGTGGAGTCAGATGATTTGTCAGCCGAGGAGCACGTCATCTTTAACGCCATTAACCACTGGGCAGAGGCAGAGTGCAGACGTCAGGGAAGGGAGGTAACTCCTGATATCAAGCGAACAGTTCTTGGAGAGACTTTACTGAAAGTAAGATTTCCTCTTTTAAAGCTAACGTTCCTGGCTAAGGACGTTAAAGCTAGCGGTCTCTTGACTGAACAGGAGCGTCTCACGATCCTTGAATATATTGGATGCCCTGACAATGATGTGAAACCCTTCAACACTAATCATAGAAAACAAAGAATGACGCATTCTATAACAAGGTTTTCAACACAATACGCATTAGAATGGTCAGTTGATGGTAAGAGGTGCGATTCTATTTCATTCAAAAGCAGCCGAAACCTGATGCTCTGTGGATACAGCCTGTATGGGCGTGCCTATGAGACTACACCCTCTACCTACTTTGTCACCACCTACTTTGGGAACGTGGAAGATGTTCTCCAGTGCAGGATTCAAGATAACACTAAGTACAAAGTCAACAGTGAAGTGTTTGATGTGGTTTTTGAGAAGCGTGTTGCTATGACAGCGGGAGTATGGTATACTCTGACAGTGCTGATACAAGGCAGAGATACGTGGCTAGGAAAAAATGGAAAGAGAGAGATTTTATGTGCTGACGGTGTTAGTTTTACCTTCAGGGACTCACAACACAGCACGAATGACACTAGCGTCGACCACGGGCAGATTCCATCTCTCCTCTTCCGTGTTGCATGAATATTACCATCCAGTGGACAATTCCTTATATATATATTTTCTTTTACAAGTGTCATCAAAATAATCGTAATTGTGGTACACATTTTCATTACATCACTTACAACATATTTCAAATTGCCTCTCTCTAGCATATTGTACATGCAGAGGCTTACACCTCCCTTACACCACGTCGTCCCAAACCTGAATCAGACTGCAGTATTTGCGTTGCGATCTGATGACGTTTTGTCAGTAAATAGTAATCCTGGATACTGAGTGAATAACAATATAATGACGGTAATGAAATAATGTCACTTGAGAAGCTGCACACATTCCAACATAAAAAATAACAATGTTTCACATCAATTGTTTCTGCAGAAAAGTGATAAGATGAGAAATCGTCTGCCAAGTTAAGTGCTTTACCACATGTGATCGTATAGGCCAAGATGGCGTCCCTTTTTACTTATAGTCGGGAGATATGACGGAACATATTTGTTCAAAGTACATTGAGAAGAAACATAAAGAATTAAGTGGAACCGTATACGTCCTTTATGTCCAATTTATATCCTATTTATATCCTATTTATATCAGTGATTAAAGTCATAGCACTTTGTACATAGGTCATGGTTAGATGGTGTGCGTTCCATCAAATATGATTGAATGCATATAGGTGGAAGTAACCCTTTAAAGAATAAATTAATAATATACATGTAAGTAGCAGTTGTCTCCAGAAAACATTCCCTCTCACACCCTGTGCCATCATAACAGTTGTTATCATATCAGAATAAAAATGACATACTGTAAAAGCAGGGTCCGATTCCGACTCTTTCATGAGCATGCGTTTATGAACCACTATCAAATAGTGTAGATACCAGGTGTTCGCGAAAAGGTGAGCGTATGTCGGTGCCACCCACGTGCAAAGGCAAGTCAATTGTTCACCTACAGAACATGGGACAATATGGTACATGTCAAAATAGGGAATTGCATCGGACATCGTTCTTGTAACTAATGCGTCCACGTGTCTACTTTAAAACTTTTTGAAAGCCTTGAATGTTGTCACTCAGATCAAACAACATTTCTGGACACAAAGGGCTGAGGCTGCAGGATATTGCTCGCAAAAAAGGGAAAGTTGACTGTTGGAAAGTAGAAGTCAACTCTCGTCTCATAAAGTCTTCTGGGGGGTGTTTTGTCACTCTGAGTCTTTAAGCATAGATCTAAATATGAAACAGATGAGGTGGTCTCACTGGTTTCCTTTATTTCTAGTTCAGGTGGGTAAGTCTGTGGAAGAGAATTGGTTATTGATAGATATCAGGTCATCGACATACCTGAAGCTCAAGTTATACTTCTTGGCTAGATTACCTTGTTTGACTTTGCCTTTCCGAGCAGAAAGTCCGATTCAAATGCATGAAGATGCCAATCAGCAAGAAGGGGATCACAAATGGTGTCCATGGGTATTCCTACTTTTTGCCTAAATGTCTTACTCCAAATTTCATATAGATGTTATCAATGAGGAAGTCCAGCATTTCACATATTGGTTGTTTTTTTCAGTAAACTTCAGATGGCATTCGAATTCATCTTTGACAGATTGACCTGAACCTCTGACAATAGATATGTAACTGTATCTATGGTCACGAATGATTTGTAACAGAAGCCCCAGGGATCAAGGAATGAAGTTTTTTCTTAAGTCATATGGGATAGTGGAGTTCAAAACGAATACTAGTATTAAGGAGTCATCACGTCACTATAATTTAATTCAAGCAAAGAAGTAGAGTGGAGGTCATACGAGCTGGTTTTGGATCGGAAAGTCAAATTTAGAAAAAAACAGTAGAACCGTGACATCGACTAACGTCACACGACCGCGACATCGAATGGTTAGAATCACTGAAACAAGATTTTAATTTTTTTGTGGTTTGACGCCGCATTCAGCAATACTCCAGCTGTATGAAAGGTAATGTCCTCATCGAGCCTTATACACGTAATGAATAGTACTGTCTTCATCTCGCCTTATACACGTGTGTTTGTTGTTTAACGCCGCTCTCGGCAATATCTCAGATATATGACGGCGGTCTGTAAATAATCGAGTCTGGACCAGACAATCCAGTGATTGACACCATGAGCATCGATCCACACAATTAGGATACGATGACATGCATCAACCAATGCAGCGAGCCTGACCACCCGATCCCGTTAGTCGCCTCTTACGACAAGCATGGGTTGCTGAAGACTTATTCCACCCCTTATCTTCACGGATCCCTATACACGTAATGAATAGTAGTGTCCTCGTCTCGCCTTATCGCAGTCTCTACAAACCATTCCACATCATACTTGAAATCACTAACTAACCACACAAAATCAATGAAAATTAAACCATCCTACCCTACATGTGACTATAAATCTTAACTCACTCACTCATACTCCTATCCTACGACAAATGTCAAATGCACGTGTACAGATAACACTCACACAATCAGTACGGGGTGGTCAGGCTTCGTACCATGATAGTTTTATTGCTGAAGATGTTGTGAAAATAAGAACCGCGCTCCATGTTTGATTTTGTTCTCCCGCTAAGGCCGCATTTTGAAAGTACTGAACTATGGGAACGGACGTTGGCTCATAAGTACGGTGGCACATAAGGGACATGGAGTCTGTTTTTCTATGTTTTAATATTTCACTTAATGTTATCGTAATCTTTTGCAAATTAACACGATTTGTCATACAAATATGTGATAAATCATGTATAAAGAAGATATTGAATCGCTGAAAAGTGAAGCGAAAATGTCAAAAACTAAAAGGAAAATATAGAAAACTATTTCCACCGCGGTGATAGTATTCCCACCGTGGTGATAATATTTCCACCGCAGTGATGATATTTCCACCGCGGTGGAAATAGTTTTCTGTATTTCCATCTTCTTTATACATGATTTATCAATTATTTGTATGACAAATCGTGTTAATTTGCAAAAGGTTACGATAACAGTATGTGAAATATCAAAATATTCCCTTATGAGCCACCGTACATATTCGTTTTTGTTTTTGTTTTTGACATTTTCATTTTAGTTTTTGACCTTTTCGTTTTTCTTTTTGACATTTCCATTTTAGTTTTTGACATTTTCGCTTCACATATCACCGATTCAATAGCTACTTAAAAGCATATTTTCCATGTTTTCGTTTGTATATATACATGATTTATCACATATTCATATGACAAATTGTGTTGATTTGCAAAAGGTTACGATAAAAGTAAGTGAAATATCAAATAATTGAAAAACAGATTCCATGTCCCTTATGGGCCACCGTAGGAACGATACATTTTCCAAAATTAGACACATTAGT